TGACAAAGATGGATGAAAGAAAGAAAGAAAGAAAGAAAGAAAGAAGATGGACAGAAGAAAGACAAAGGAGGAGAGAAAGAAAGACAGACGGATGAAAGAAAGAAAGCGACAGGCAGATTGATGAAAGAAAGAAAGACAGACATACAGAAGGATGAAAGAAAGAAGGACAGATGGATGAAAAAGAAAGAAAGAAAGATGGACAGTAGAAAGACAAGAAAAGAAAGAAAGAAAGAAAGAAAGAAAGAAAGAAAGACAAGCGATGAAAGAAAGACAGACAGATTGATGAAAGAAAGAAAGAAAGACAGACAGAAGGATGAAAGAAAGAAAGAAAGAAAGAAAGAAGACGGACAGAAGAAAGAAAGACAAGGGAGGAGAGAAAGAAAGACAGACGGATGAAAGAAAGAAAGCGACAGACAGATTGATGAAAGGATGAAAGAAAGAAAGACATAATTGAGAACACAATCAAAGGAAAAGCAGTGAATATGAAAGCAGGAGTGTAATGGGAGACAGACAACACTGAGCAAGGATTTCAAAGTGTCGGGGTCACCCTCTGCTCCGCTACCGGGCCCCGGGGGACCCCCACATCGCCCAGATATGACTGACATGTGTCGGCTTCATGTGTCAATCTAACAGAGCGTGAGAGAGACTGATGAAAACTATGTCTGGCACTTCTTATATAGGCTGTGAAAATATGTAAACTATTTCTTTTCTACCATCTGCGAAGCTATTCTGCGCTTGAACGACAGACATAAACGTGTCATGTCACAGCTGATGTGGGCGTCACTGTTTATGTTGATCGTGATAATAATAGCACACCGCTGAGAGTCACGGTGACTAACCCCATTATCACACTAACTACAGTGTTCAAGAGAGAGATACAGAACTCAAAGCATTTTTTCCGGATTAATTTTTGTTAGAGTGCGTGTGTTGATGACTACTGAAGCATGGAGCATACAGTGGCTCCGTGCCAATAATACCCACTTGCTCTTTTCTTGCTGAGATAATATCACAAAATAAAAATAAAAAAACTAATGTCTTAATACTTCATGTCCCCTAAACGTATTTGGACATTTACGGCTTACTTAAAAACGGCATTACATTAGACTTTGAAAAAAGTAGTATCCATAAATAAATAAATTGAAACAAACAAATAAATACAAACATTTCTTGGAACATATTTAAGTTTTGGGTTGTTGTTTTAGAAAGGTCAATACAAACAAACAAACAAACAAATAAATAAATAAATAAACAACTAAATAAATAAACAAATAAACAAATAAATAAATAAATAAATAAATTGTATTTATTTATAATTACATTTTTATTTATTTTTTTTGGAAGGTTGTTTTAGTAGCGGTCAGTTCCCTTAAAGGGATTCACTAAGTGTCACAGTGGTTTTATACATTATACTCATTGCTTTATTTAAAACCTATCAAACTTCTTTTTGTGAAATATTTTGCCTTTCTATTTTTTTTTAAAAGTATGCAAATACTTCCTGGGGCCACTTCATTCAACAAAAACAAATTATTCTAAAACGCTGTCAAAGAATCTACAGAGTTACCATCTTTAGCCAGTCCAAACATCTTTCATGCAGAATATGTTGACCAAGTAGCAGTAATTTTTATAAACAGGAAAGGAAGATTTATACAAGTTCCTGCCTGTCCCACCCAAATCCCTCCCTCACCCTGAAACACACAGGGAATGCCAGTTTTACGAAACATGTAACATATGACACAAAACAGATGTATGATGATCGCAAAAAACAGATACTCTGTCATATTATCCCTTGAAAAGCATCTATGTGATGCAAAACAAGCATTGCATTACTAAAAATCTATGTTTGAAAGGAAAACCTTTTTTATTCCAAGTCTAAGTCAATTAGGAGCCAAAAAAAGCAGCAGAATTTGTGAAACATGTCAGGCAGTCAATTCCCCCATAACGCCACTGTGGGACAGGCAATGTACCGTCTCGGCAAACATTTTTCCTTTCCCTTTTCTCCTTCTCATTTTTCACTCGTGTGTTTTCACTTGGACAGTAAATCATCTTTTTGTTATTCGCATTACAAATGGAGGTCAAGCGAGAACACAGATCTGCCGTATGAAGAAATCATTGCTGAATCCTTCAAGATTACAAGCACATGACACGAATACCAACTGCTTGAGATACGCATTGGATGCGAGTGCTGAACGTGCTACAGTAGGCTGAACTCTCCGGTATATCTGGTAATGGTTGGAACAAATAAAAACCATTATCTTTCTGATCCGCCAGACAGGAAATATCTCTATGAACTCTCACTCTGTAGACACAAACAAACATCAGATGGCATGCTAGCACTCCTGATAACCATTACACACACTTACTGAAGTCACATCCCCGCTGAAAACACCAGCATGACTGATCATAAGCATTTGCTGTGTTTTGGATGCTGGTTCCCGACATGCTTTGTTGGTGTGATGGCGTCCCCACTAGGCTGCTAAACTAGCGGGGTTGGACTACTACCGTTTAAAAGTTTGGGGTCAGTAAGATATAAAGAAAAAAAAAAAAAGGAATACTTTTCATTCAACAAGGGTGCATTAAATCGCCAAAAAATGACAGTAAAGGCATTTTAATTGCTACAAAAAATATTTCAAATAAATAAAAAGTCCTTTTGATGTTTTTGAGCTCATTTCCACCACATTCTTTTTTTTCAGGATTAAAACAAACATAAATAAATAAATAAAATAAATATTTGTAATAATAATAATAATAAGGCTATAGCGACTTTTATAAATTAACATTGCATAAAAAAAAGTCAATTTATGGATAAAATGTTGCAATTACCTTTTTTTATTTTTTATTCCGGGGAGTGGGGGGAACAGAATTGTGAGATGTAAGCTCAGAATTTAGAGAAAAAAAGTCAGAATTGCTAGATGTAACCTTGGAAATGTGAGAAAAATATCCAGAATTATATTTATGTCTCACAATTCTGACTTTTTTCTACAGTCAAAACTGCAAGAAAAAAGTCAGAATTGAGAGATAAAAAAGTTTCTATTATATTTTTTTTATGATTTATTCCAGTGTAGAAGAAAAAAAAAAGAATTGCGAGATGTAACCTAGAATAAAAATCAGAATTTAAATTTATTTTAAATTCAGATTTAAATGAATAAATAAAATTCACAATTTCATTTTTTATTCTGCCTATGGTGGAAACTGGTTTCAATAGACACTGTGCACTTTAGTAATGGCTGCTGAAAATTCAGGTTTACCATTACAGGAATCAATTACATTTAAAAAAAATATTAAAATAGAACATTTATTTTAAATTGTAGTAATATTTCAAAATAGTACTGCTTTTACCGTATTTTTGATTTAAAAAATGAAGCCTTGGTGTGAAAAAAAAACTAAAAAAACTTGAGCAAACAAATTAAGGCTTAAAGAAATTGATTGGATTTATTTATTCTTCCTCTTGCTTAAAACATATGCGTTGTGTACGAAATACCTATATGTAGCATAACTATCACAAACTCTGAGATTTTGGGTTCCATAACTACAGTAAGCTCAGTAATGATATTTGGTAATATATACACTACAGTACAATGCCTCTAAGATTACGGTTAGGTAGGCATACTAGATATTGTACTACAACTATAGGAGCCAAACAAGCTAATGAGCACTATTTCACTCTATTTCTATGGCAGAATGGACTGGATCTACCACAGTTTGCATGGTCTCACCTCAGGGAATGTAAGAGCAAGCTTTTTACTTAGCCGGCGGCGACGGCTCTGAATCCTGTTCTAATGAGAAATATGGAGAGGATTTCAGTGGAAACAGAAAGAGGGTAATTTATGGGTGCCAAAAACTGACTTAAGCCTCGAAAGAGACCACACTTGTTAACAATGCTGTTATTGTAAAACACGGTAATCCATCATAGATGAGAACGTTTGAAAGGAATAAAAGTGCATGCTATAAATCGATTCCCATCGTATAGGCCTTCCTACTGTTTGAACACAGTTATTTCGATCTCTGGCGAGCAGACCACATATGGCTGACATACTATGAGGGTTTGTTCAATTTCTGCACTGTCAAAATCAAATTAGCCCTTCCTGCAGTGTTCAAAGTCTCCTTGAAAGTCTCTCCAAAGTTCGTTCGAAGTGGTCGCTTTCTCTTAACTTTAGCCGACAAATTCAGTCATGTGTTTTGCACCGCTGGATGCTGGTAAAGCACTTTGAACTGTTTCCAGTAGATCTGGCACCCCATGGTTTAGGGGCTTGTGTTTGCATATCAGCACTGCTCGGGGTTAAGTACGGCATCCACGGTTCAGAGATTCAATCCATGCCTACGTGTCGCTCTCAATCAGCCTGCCGATCTGCGGCCGGACCAGATCGCATCTCAACATCTGTCCTTGAGAGATCAAGCCTTCAGATGTGATCAGAGTCGGCTCGCTAAATTAAAGTAAAACCGACCGGATCTCGCAGCCTGTTCCGCACATGGAGTCCGCTGGGAGCAATAACGCTGGCGTTTATGTTTGTAATGGCACATGCATTTAGTTCGTTTTTATACCTTTAACGATATAGATGGGCTCATTAAAAAAAGCATTGCTCGCGAGTTATGTTACGAGTTTGTTTTGGTAAAGTCTTTTCAAAGGCTTTTCCGTATGAACGATGGGGAGTGGAAGAAATCTCCAAGTCTTTGTCGTTTCCTTTAATGCAAAAGCTGGAGGATGGAACTTTGAGGCAAGATGGAAATATGTCATAACATTCGTTCTTACTGACGCCAAGGACAGAAATGTGTTCGGTGTGCTGGATTTGACTGGCTTGTGGACTGAAGTTAATATTCTCCATATATAAGACCTGGAGCTTTGTTATTTTAATGTCGATTTAACAGCAAACATCGTACTTCTCTGACCAAACATTTCAGCAATAACACTGACATGTTTCAGCACTTGCCCTAACTCACAAGCCAGGTGTCCTCAGGCACAGAAGAAATCTCTCAGAGTTACACATTAGGACTCAACAATAAGGATTTTTTTTCTGCTGGTTCGGTTGGAACCGTGTTTCATATTTTTTCCTGCCCTGTTAAAATGTACTGTTATACCCCCCCCACCCACACACACACACACATATATACATACAGTGGGGAAAATATTTATTTGATCCCCTGTTGATTTTGTAAGTTTGCCCACTTACAAAGAAATGAAGGGTCTGTCATTTTTATGGTAGGTTTATTTTAATGTAAAGAGACAGAATACCAACCAAAAAATTCAGAAAAAACACATTATATAAAGGTTAGAAATTGATTTGCATTTCAGTGAGTGAAATAAGTATTTGATCTCCAAGCAAAACATGACAGTACTTGGTGCAGAAACCCTTGTTGGCAAGCACAGAGGTAAGACGTTTTTTGTAGTTGGTCACCAGGTTTGCACACAATTCAGGAGGGATTTTGATCCACTCCTCTTTACAGATCCTCTCTAAATCCTTAAGGTTTCTTGGCTGTCGTTTGGCAACTCGAAGTTTCAGCTCCCTCCACAGATTTTCTATAGGATTGAGGTCTGGAGACTGGCTAGGCCGCTCCGTGACCTTAATGTGCTTCTTCTTGAGCCACTCCTTTGTTGCCTTGGCGGTATGTTTTTGGGTCATTGTCATGTTGGAAGACCCATCCATGACCCATCTTCAGTGTTCTGGCAATTGTATGTAAATGGTATATGCATAACAGTTTAAAAGTTTTGTTTTTTTATTGCTTTAAATGTAACATTGCAAAATTTTACTATAATTTTAAAAAGTAACGGTTTTCTATTTTAATATATTTTTTATGTTTTTAAAATGTATTCCTGATTATTATCAATGCTGAAAACTGTTGTCCTGCTTAATATTTTTGTAGAAACAGTGATAGTTTTTTCAGGATTTTTGAAGGAATAGAAGGTTAAAAAAATATTTATTTGAAATAGTCTAAAATAAATGTAGATTTCTTGTAATAATTTAAAAGTATTCGCTGATCAATTCATGAAAATAAAAAAAATACATTAGCAGGCTAGATAACGTTACCTTGGTTACATACTTCAATTAGCATAATCATATAGCATAAATACATCCCCCAAAACCAAATGTTTGATCTCACAATGGCCCGAGTCATCCTTATTGTCGAGCCCTGCACATGTATAACTCTTTGCGATTGCATTTTGAGCTTAAATCAGAGAACGTCTAAACGATTTTCAATCTACAGCCATCCAGACATAATATATTTAATGCATTTTACCTCCTTAACTTGAGAGACTGTCACGGTGGGCTGGGATTGTCTGAGACTGGGTGATGGACAGTGCTTTTACCATCCAGACCGAGGATAAACTTTGACCCTGAACACATACACGTGATCTCTTTTCTCTTTCACATTCTTTGTTTAAAAGATGAAATACAGACTGGCCTATGTGTGTGGCTGGATACCAGAATCAAAGGAACCTGCAAACAGACTGATATGTAAGAAGTGTAGTGGAGTTGCATTGAGAAACATGTATGCAGGTTTGTTGCCAGAAACACAGCATATTACTTCGGGCGATTTGCAAAGGTTATGTGCAAAGCTCACCCAGCAGAGGGGCTGTGTGCTCTGATCCAAAGGAAAAGCTATATGAGTGGCTGCTTACACACCGCAAATGCATGTTTATACATTTTAAATCTACAGCTTTACATATGAGGTCAGATACACTTGTCAATAATGATATGAGCTGAATCACTCGCAGATGCTTGATCTTCCCGTTTGTGTCATCGGATAGATAAATGTAATGTGCTATTAACTATAAAAATATATGAATAGAAGGAAAAAAGGGATAATATTAGGGCTGGGTATTGCAATACGTCAAAATTCAATGCATTACAATGAATTCCAATCGGAAAATTGAAACCGCACCAAACACCACATAAGAAAAAAATATCATGCTTTGATAAATCATAATTATGAAACATGACATACAAAATTTAAATAATGACATTTTAAGCCATAATTATGAAATGTTATGTAAGTAAATCTGACATAGTGAAAATTTGTTTCATAATGAAATTATTATTTTTATTCTTATACTTAAGGTTTTATATCTCATAATTATGACTTTGTATGCTATAATTATAACTACTTAATATGTCATAATTATGATTATTTGATCCTAATTTTTATATATAATTATGTTTTTTTTGTCATGATTCTTCATTAATTGAACTGTTGGAGATTAAATTAATACTGATACAACAACTTAAAGTATCAATGCGGTATTTATAGAAAAAAATCATCACGATTACATTAATATAAGATTATATTTGCAAAGCTCTAGATTACACCACCGTTCAAAAGTTTGAGGTCAGCAAGATTTTGATCGTTTGTGGTCTATTATGCTCAATAAGGCTGCATTTATTTGATCATAAATGCAATAAAACTGCAATATTGAGAAATATAATTACAATTTTAAATAAACATTATCCATTTTAATATATTTTAAAATATAATTTATTCGTGTGCATGCAAAGCTGAATTTTCAGCATTATTACTCGTCTTCAGTGTCACATGATCCTTCAGAAATCATTCTAAAATGCTGATTTGCTGCTTAAGAAACACTTATTATTATTATTATTATTATTATTAATGTTGAAAACAGTTGTGCTGATTAATATTTTTGTGGAAATTTGTGGAATTTTTTTTTTGTGATGAATAGAAAGTTCATATATTTTTTTTGTAAAATGCAAGTCTTTTTTTTGGTAACTTTTCATCAATTTAATGCACCTTACCAAATAAAAACAATATATAGTTTAATATATATGTATATATATGTGTGTATATATATATA